GCCAGATCATCTCTGCCAGTTTATCATTTGCACCATCTCCTGCTCTTGCTTTCTTTTTAAACAGGTTTATTCCAGATCAAACTCGGAAGAGGTTATGGCTTCGTTCTGCCTGAGGGGGATTTGATTTGAAGTCCCACGAGGAATATTATGTCATCAAACTATTTCCTCTCTATAACAGAATAAAAAGCGGGCTGTGTGAGAGGAAGAGGCAGCACGCAGTGCGACAGAGGCTGTGACTGGAGGGCATCGCGGCGAGCCCAAGCAGGCAGCTCAGCAGAAACCCTCTTCAGTCTCATCCCCACCACAGCCATCAGGGGGATCTTGGGGATGAAGTCATGAAGGCAGCATGACAAAGTCCTGGGATGAGGTGCAGGAAAAACCTAGTGCACTAGCAGAGGCTGGCTGTGCTTTGCATCTGTCACATGATGCTCAGGAGCATCTGATGCACAGCTGGGGATGGGCAGCATGGTGGAAAGCGCCTCACATGATGCTCAGGAGGTTTTGCCTGGCTTTCTGCAGGGCTGAGCCTGCAGTGGGGAGGGACTGGAGAGCCTCTTTTCCCATCTCTCACCTTAGCTTTTGGCAAAATCATATCACCTAGTTTACCAAAGGGGGAGTTAAAAAGGGTATTTTATGACAAGATGCAGAATTTTGCCTAGTTTGCACTTTTCTCACTGTAATGAGCTTTTATGTGCCTGTAATGGTCAGCATGAGCCTCTTGAGAAACGAGGAGAGGAGAACTCTCATCTTCTCTGTCTCCTCCCCGCAGTGCTAAGCATTAAGTTAATTTTGCTGCGTCTTTTGGCACTTTGCTCTGCCTCTGTCAGCTTGCAATGCACCTGGCTCTGGGCTGCACTTGGTGTCTTCGAAGCTCTTAGATGAAAACAGGAATCGAAGAAAATGATTGCAACAACCTATGTTGATGTGGTGTTTAAAGAGCAGTGAAGTGGAGCAAAGCCAGGTCCCAGCAGCAGGGCTGAGTTGGTCAGATCTTTTCCAAGTGCTCTTTTCTGTTCTTTTTTGAGTGTAGTCAAATATATTACTGCTTATTAAATGTGTACCTCCAGACAGGCTGCACACCTGCCCAATTGATTTTGCTCTTGGAGGCTTAAAGAAACCCTCTCAGCCTAAAAATCTAGTTAGTTCAATTCTGTTGACTGACTGAAGCAGCCTTGCTGAAGAAATGAGGCAGCTTAAGTGCACAAAGCTGGGGATGGCTGGCTGGTTTTTGTTATAAAGCATAAGAAAATGGCCAGTGATCTCCCTCTGCCAAGTGGAAGATAGGCTGCATTTGGGAGCCTTGGAAGGCCTCCTGTTAGTCTGCAGACAAGCCACTTGCCTGCATCTCATTGCTCAGTCAGGAGAAGACTTTTGCCATCTTCTCCTTGCCTCCTCTTTGCAGCTGGATGTGTATTTTGGGCCACTTTGTTAGTGGCCGTAGGCAAGGCTTTATGCAGCAAGTGCCAAATGGCAGAAGAAGACACAAGCAGCAGTAACACAGAGCAGAGGAAGCTTGTCCCAGTGCTGGTGGTCACTGGCATTTCCTTACAATTGCTGCAGATGTGATGGGGACGGGAACGTAAACACTTAATCCTTGAAAACTTGGTGCTTTGTTTATAATCTAGGCAGTCATTCATTCTGCATCTGCTGCTTGGATCATCTTGCAGGGCATGGATTGTGAAATCAAGGAAACAAAATATATTTGCTCTTTCTAAGATGAATTGCCACATCAGGTGGTGCTCCCTTACCAACAAGGAATAGCTGCCATGGATGAAGTGTGCAACTGTTTCTCCTAAAGACTGCAAGATCTAAGCTCTCATAACTATGATTTTTTTTTCAGAAAATTGTTTGTCACAACAATTTCCAGGTACAGACGTCATAGGAATGAAACAGGTGATGTTGCCTGTAAGCAGCAGCAGCAGCAGCAATTGCTTCTTTTGCTGTCCAGCTCTGCCTGGAATTTCCGGTTTGAGCCTGCCCATTCTTGCCCAGTCAGTGTAACCCAGCCCAGCTCAAGGCTTCTGTGCACAGTGGGTCCTCACAGCGTTCTGCTGTGCCATCAGGGTGGTGACAGGCTGGCAAAGGGAGCACACCCCCTCTTTTGTCCTCTCTGCAGTACCAGGGAGTGGAGCATGGATCAGAGCTGATACCAATGGTGAGGAAAACACAGAGAGAAGGAGACATCTCTTAAGCTACTGTGCTTTGGTCCATTTGCTCCTAAGGACAAAGAGTACTTTGGGATGGCTGTTTCAGGACAGAGAAGATAAGCATCCACAGTGTCTTAGTCTGCTCACAAGTGAGAACACGCTTAGTGGAATCTCCACAGAAAACTCCATCTGAAATCAGATGCTTGCCTGTAAATCATACCTTGGGCACCTCCAGGCTGTGAAACAGGTTTCTCTTCCTAGGAGAGAAGTCTGGCATCTTGGCTGTCTGCAGATGGAGAAAGGAAGCTTAGGAATGCCACCTCTGCTTGGAAATTAGGGAGAGGGAGATGTTCCTCTAGTCTTGTGACTCTGAGCTGTGCCTTTATGATGTGCCAGCATAAAAAGGTATGAAAGAGCAAATGCAAAAAGAAATCACTCTGCCCAGCCCAGCAGCAAACCCAAAGGTAAAAGCAGAGAGAAGATGTGTATCAGGATGTATCTCCACAGATGTGTCTCTGGAGAGAGACCATTACAGAAGTTCATTCATCCCAAATGAGTAAGCAGAGACTCACAATACAGCTCATTGCAAGGGTTTGTCTGACTCAGGGAATCAACATTTTACCAGTTTTGAGTCCTAAACCAAAATTGAACACCAGACTCTGCTACTTTAGAGGCTGTTCCTCATCTTCCTAAAAGAAGATAAGCTTTCTGTCTAATGCTGCAGAAAACAGGGCACCCATTTTGTGAGCTCAATATATGGAGTTTGGTACTTCAGGTGTCAGCATCAGTGCTGGTCACAGCTTCACACTGGGGTGTCACTTCAGGAGTCTGTCAGCTCTTCCTCGACTCAGAGGAACAGGGTGTTACTGCCAATGACCCTAAGCAGACCTGTCAGCCCAGCCTGTTGTGAAGGTGTGTGAGACATCCCACTGAAAGAGCCTGGCTGTAATTGTCAGTTGTAATTGTAATTTTGCTGCTTTCCAAACTATTCAGGCTAAAATTTTGAGGATGAAATTTTTGCTTCTAGCAGAAGACATTCTTATTTAATTTCAACGGGCAATTTCTGCAAAATATGATCCATCTAGATTTGCAAGAAGAAGGATGAGGAGGAGGACAAATTGGTTATTTTACTTCTAAACTTAAAAAGCTCTTGTGATTTTCAGAGAACCCATACAGCTCCTACGCTTGGGAACACCAGCTTCCAGCTTTTTTTAGTTTGCTCTAGCGTGATACACCCAATTTCAACAACCCAATTGTGACCCAATTATGAGACTTGAGGTGAAAAAATAATATTGGTGTCAATGGATATTTGTTATAGTTTGGCAGGTGAAATGTGGTTGATGTTGAGTATCTGCTCAAGGGCTGCTGGGGGACTGTGAGTAAGGCTTTTTCTCTGGTTCTTGATGTCACAGGCCAAGCATCAGAGGTCTCTGCTTTGGATCTCAGGTATCCAGCCTCACTGATGATAGGTGGTGTATTGGGTTGGCATTAATCAACCCTTTTCCCTGCACTCACAAAGCTCCTTCTCTGCTTTCTGGGTTGTCTTCTGGTGCTTGGTTGGGTTAAGTGGAACTGGGGTCCTGAGCAGGCAAAGACTGAGACCTAGCTCCACTTCCTGTAGAAGACTTGGCCTCCTCATCTTCTTACATGCTGCTTCTCCTTGGGGATGGGTTGCTGGTTCCAAGGGTGCCAGGTCTTGTACAGACATTTCCCAGGCTGGCAGAGTACCCTGGTGATATCCTAGTGCACTTCATATGTAATTTCATCCCATACTTGAAGTCCCATTCCAATTTCCCTAAGGCTCTTGCAGGCTGCATCTAGTCGGCTGTTCCTAGTGAGGATCTCCAGATGCCCTGCAAAGAAAAATCTGTACATGCTGCCTAAATATCCCCCTCTTTCTTCTGTGGGGAAGGGAAAGCTTTTTATTTGAGATGCAAGGTGCCGGACTGGGGCTGCTGTAAATAGCTCTCTGCTTTGGTGAACCTGCTGTGTCAAAGAGGGACAGCCTTGTGGCAGGCGACGAAGGCTAAGCCCATGAGCAAAGATTAGACCAGCAACTGCGGATTAGGGCATTTCTACCTGGACTCATCCTTAATTCTGCCTGATTTAAAATAACATGCAATGGCAGTGGTGGTGACAGGTCGGGAGGATGCACAATGGCCCTGAAAAGTGGACCTGGAGTAGGGTCCTGGAGTAGAGTTTTGGCCTCTGTAGTCTGTGGGGAAGGTTGGAGGCACCTATATGTTGGACAGAAGGATAGGTGCTGTCATGAAGTGGGCTGATGGAAAACTGGTGGAAAGAGGTGTGTGGCATGGGGAAATGGGGAGAATGGAAGCCCAGCAGAATGGAGCTGCAGAGGAAGCAGGGCTGTGGATTGTGGGAGGGTGGATGGGGAAAAGAATGTAGTAGCTTGATAGATAAAATCAGTGAACAAATGCATGGTAGAAACAATTAATCTCTTGGAGGGAAAGGAATGAGTGGGAGAGTAAGTGCAGACTAAGAGGATTTCCACTACTTGAAGCCATTGTATGCAGGCACCCGCACCAAAACCATATCCCAATTTATACTCCATGTCACCTCCCTCTGTGTCTGTGGGAAGCCACCCTTACTCCAGACTGCAGCTGCTCTGCATCGCTTTAGGTCAGATGGATAAGAAGGTTCAATCTAAAAATGTCCTATTTTAAGTTAATCCTCAGAAATAAAATGAGACCATGTCAAATTCCCTGTGGCTACAACCCAGGCTAGGCAGCAGGGCAGGAGCTCAGCAGAGCAGAAAGGTGCTGGTGAAGGGTGTCTGTCCCCTGTAGAACTCTGCTCCTTTCTGCCGGTCCAGAGAGATGGCGCTTGCCCTGATGTGTCTCCGGCCTCCCTCCCCACCAGGTGTTCTCTATCGTGGTGTTCGGCTCCATTGTCAATGAAGGGTACGTGAACCGCATGGATGAGTTAGAAGAGCACTGCATTTTCAACCGCAATCACAATGCCTGCAACTATGGCATTACCGTGGGTGTCCTCGCCTTCCTCAGCTGCCTTCTTTACCTGGCTCTGGATGCCTACTTCCCGCAGATCAGCAGCGTCAAGGACCGCAAGAAGGCAGTGCTCTCGGACATCGGAGTCTCGGGTGAGCTTCCTCCTGGCTTATTCCAGCCATTCAGGCAAACTGCTCCATGTCAGGCTCTCCCTGGAGTATGTCAAAGGGGCCAGGAATGGAGTGAGAGCAGGATCAGGTGAAGCACCTGAATTTGCAAAGGACTTCAGGCTTGCAAGTTCTTTCACAGTTAGCCCCTTGCCTAGCAATCCTATGTACAGCTGACAGGACAAGGGGAAGGATTGTGCCCTGTTTTTCTGTTGCTTTGGGATGCCCATTTCTCTCACTGTGCTTAGCAGAGGGTCAGTACCTTCTACCTTCACCCCTTTCCTGGGGACACAACATGTTAGTGATCTTTCAGCACCTTTCCTTGATGTGAGTCCCTGAGCTGTTCTGTCCTGAGTACAAGCTGGTCTCTGTGTAACTGCAGACCAGCTACTTCCCACTCTTTTGCAGCTCCTGTGGAAGGAATTGCTCTTTGCTTGTCCTTGAAGGACAGGATTGTGAAGCAGTGGCTGTTTCATAGAGCCCAGGTGATCTCTCTAGTACTGGAAGCCCTTCGGGCTCCCTCCCAAGGCCAAATGCAAGTCTTGTGATCAATCCAAACACGAGCAAACGAACTCTCCTGAGGTGCTTTCTGCAGACACCTCTTGGTCACCTTGACAATTTGCTGTCAGGGATCCTGCCAGCTCGCTTGGGCTCAGACTGGCTGAGCAGTCAGTTTGGCTCGGTCTGCAACATAGTGGTGGGTCTCAGAGGATTGAAATTTCCAGAGAAATGTAATATGTCTATGCTATGCTCACACATATCTTCTTGTCTTTGTCCTTCCCTTTGGTATGCCGGTGGTGGTCCATCCCAGCCTTTTGGGCATTCCTCTGGTTCGTTGGCTTCTGCTTTCTAACCAACCAGTGGCAAGCTTCAAAACCAGAGGACAACCCACTGAATGAGGGAGGAGATGCAGCCCGAGCAGCCATCACATTCTCATTCTTCTCCATCTTTACCTGGGTGAGTACAGCCATGATGTTGGATCAAATGTCCTCTGTGCTGTATTATCTTGTGGGGAATGAAAGGTGACTGTCTGAGAGTGGTTCCCTCTGGGATCTCAGTTCACATGGTTTCTGAGAAAGAAAAGCAGGAGAGGAGGTGGTTGGGAACTAAACTTGGGAAACAGGGACTCAAAAACCTACGTGGAAGAAGGTTTTTTAATATGGCCTTGGACAAGCCAGCTCCCCAACCACCATTGTCATAGAATCATACAGTAATTTGGGTTGGAAGGGACTTTTAAAGGGCATCTAGTCCAACCCCCCTGCAAAGAGAACTAGATCAAGGTGTCTCAGAGCTCAGTTCAATCTGACTTTGAATGTTTCCAGGGATGGGGCATCCACCACCTCTCTGGACAACCTGTTACTGTTTTCCCTGTGTGTCAGAGGACTTCAACAGCATTTTCACCTTACAGACACTAAACAGAGAAGGGATCTGCAGGCCAGGGGTTGCACCCATCTCCCTTCCACCTTTGCTCCCATCATGCAAGATGTCATCGTTGTTCTTCTGGATTCTTTACCCACCACTGGACTGCCACCTCACTGGGTCACCTTTTAGGAAGGTGATGGTGCTGTCTTAAGACTGCCCTTTGCCCAGCAGTTCTTTGTTGCTAGTTTCCTAGAAAAACTGTTGGGTGCAATATGAGTATCTCTGATGACACCCTCCTGCCTCTGAGAGCACCAAGCACAAGTGTTTTTTTTGTCAAGTGACAGGATAGTGCCAAGCAAGAAAGCATTTTAACCTTGTCTCCACGCATAAGCCCTTGGGACTTTATCTTCTCTTCTTCCTACAGGCCCTATCTGCAGGGGCCAGATAGGAAAGGTCAGAGCTGTCAGAGAGGAAGGGGGGCTGCAAAGCCTTGTGCTGTCAGCACCCTCACCATGGTGACACCAAGCAAGCCATGTGTGTGTTCCCTTCATGAGCTGTGTGCTGCACTCAAGTGCTGCTGAAAGCCCCTTGAAAGCTCCAGCAGAAAGTGAGACAAGGAGCAGGGTTTTTGCAAGGGATCCCTCAGGACACTTTGGGAGGTGCCATCACCTGCAGAGATCCTTTCCCATGCACAGGCTTGCACGTGGCCAAACAGGCATCCTTTTCCCCTGGTTCCTTGAGGTTTGTTTTTATTTTAGTCAAACACTCTGGTTTGCTCTACCTTACTGATTCTCCTTCCCACACCACTCTCTCCTCACAGGGCTTCCTGGCATTTCTGGCTTTCCGGAGACTCAGAGACATTAATTTTCAGGAGGAATACAATACCCTGTTCCCTAACTCTCCGTCCTTGCTGCCTTAGTGCCCCTTGCTGACGGGAGAATTTGGGGGAAGGAGTGGAGGGATGCAGCTGGAGGAGGTCACTGAGCAGAGCTGATTCCAATGCCCTGACTATGAGTGTGTGGTCACTGCAGGGCATGGGATGGGAAGATATGGGCCATTGAATTGGTGTGGGGCTGTCCATTGAACAGGGCATCTCCCTCTGGAAGGTTGGAACTGGCAATTTCTCCTCTTCTGCTCCCTTCTCTTCCTCACCCATACCTTAACTAATGCTATGTAACACCACTGTGCCTTTATTTGATGACTGCTCAGACTTAATACTTCAGCCAGGAGATGCCCTCTGCTCCCATCGTTTTATCTCTTCCATTTCTTCCCAAACCTCATTCCCCAGAAATGTCTCCCCCATCACCTGCTAGACTGCTCACCTCTCTGGGACAATGAGCCATGCCTGCTGAACCCTGTGCCACCCTGCTCCCCCAGTCCACCAAAAGGTGCCCTGCCTGCAGTGCCTGAGGCAGGAGACAGCAGTTTACTTGCGAACTGTCCCCTGGTTTGGGAAGCAGCTGCCTTGCTTCCTGCTGCTCCTTCCCAAGGTCTATGCTACATCTTGTGGATGTTGACTGATGAAAGTGTTTCAGGGGGTGACCTCTACCTCAGTACTTGATGTCAAATCCTGCTCTCCTTTCTGGCCTTTACAAGTTAAATGGCGTGGTACACGCAGCCCAGCAGCTGAGCCCTCTGGTGTTGCTGAGGCAGATTGCCTTCCCACAGCCCGGAGGGGCTGACTGGGATAACCACGTGCCAACTGAGCCTCCGCGACCCGTGCGATGTTGGTGAAACTCCACCAGCAGACAGGAGGTGCCCTGAACATCCCAGAGAAAGCAGGGAGCCTTGGCAGGCTGCACACAGCCAGCTGGTCTTGCAGCCATCCTTGCCCAGTCCTCTTCTCTCCTTGTGGGCTCGTGCTTTCTGTGGGAGAGTGTGGACTTCCATGCTCTTGGGGCATTTCACCGGCAATCTGCCAGGTGGGCCTTGCACACTAATCCATAACCACTACTAACACCACTTTTGTTTGTTTCTCTTTTCCGGTACGTTCCTCCTCTTTTTCCTCTTCCCTTCCCTCTGTGCTTCCCATCTCCTCCCTTCACCTCCTCCCTTAAAGGTGGGCCAGGCATTCCTGGCGTATCAGCGTTTCCAGCTGGGTGCCGATTCGGCCCTCTTCTCCCAGGACTACATGGACCCAAGCCAGGACTCCGGCATGCCTTATGCTCCCTACACGAACGAGGAGGATGCTACAGATGCGGTGGGGACATACCAGCAGCCCCCTCCAGCAGATGCTTTCGACACCGAGACACAGGGGTACCAAACGCAGAACTACTGAGCCACCGATGCCCCTTTCCCTTCTCCTTTCCCTTCTGCCCCTGCTCCCACTGCCGGCAGAAAGCCGAGGCACAAACAAGACACGTGCATAGTGGTACAAGAGGTGGCTCTCAGCTATGCTCCAGCCTTCTGGGTCATCTGTTTTTATTTATTGTTTTTAAAAAAGGCAAAAAAAAAAAAAGGAAAAAAGGTTTCCCCATCACCTATTCCTTCTCTCCCACCAAGCTACCTGCCAGAATCAATTTTTTCCAAAATCTGCATTTTGATAGGAAGGTCCCTCCTTTCCTCCTCTCCCTCCTGTCTTGTTACAGAGGGCAGAGTCTGTCTTGTGGACAGGAGAGGAGCTATGGCACCGGCAGGGCAGGGGAAAGGGTGTTGGAGGCAGAACAGAAGAAATGAGAGGGACTGGGGACCTTCCTAGAAGAGGTGGTACTGATAAAGGTTGGTGTAGATGTGGGAGCATCCAAACTGGTCTGGAGCACCTGGTGGCTCAGGGAGGAGAATGGTTTTTGAGTCAGCATAGAAGAGTGTGAGGAGGGGCCTGGATCAATGTCCTCCATGTAAAGACAGGGGGGCTTATCCCTGCCACATGCTAGTGAGAGAGGGGTGCTTTATTTTTAGAGGGTTTGGGAGAAATGGTATTGGGGAGGGGGAGGAGCACAAGGAGAGAAAATGGGAAGGGAAAAAAGAAGATTTGCAGGTACAATCAGAAATCACAGGCCCGTCTGTAGGACCTGTGAGACGCAAGAGACTTAGCGGAGTGGAGGGGTAGTGCTCTGAGATTCACTCCTTCCTCAGCCCCCGTGGATTGTGGATAGTGGGTAGTGGAGGTGATTCCCCTCACCTGTACATCCTGCTAGTCACTGCTTTTCCCAAACCAGTGTTTGATGAGGCAGGAGGGGAGCCATACACAGTCTCTGGGCCCAGATACAGTGCCTGTGTGAGGCAGGATGGAGGAGGTGGGCTTCTAGAGGGCCCTGAGAGCCTTCAACCCCAGCTGGGCTGGTTCAAGGGGGAGGGGGCAGCTTTGTCATTTCACCCAGGGCAGGAGGAGGAGAAAGATAGTTTTGCTCCTCAGGTCCTGCTGAACCTTCCTCTATTCCTCTGTTCCTTAACAATAGTACAAAGCCTCTTGCTGACACCATCTTTGTAGCACACAGGAATGGAGCAGGACCCCACTTAGAAAGAAGTACTGCTGCTGGGATGGCCAGCAGGTGTCTGGCTCTTGCAGAGGGGTGCAGGGAAGGGTGCAAGCTGGGAAGGGTCCTACCCTGTATGGCTGCGCTTTGCCTCCCACTCAGATAGGGAGGAGGTCTTGGTGTGCAGAGAATTGATTTGGGCCAGACTGAATTGTCTGAAAACTGGACTTTCTGTACTTGCCATAGACCCTAGTCTATGATCTTAGTGCTCTTCTGCAACATCTCAGATCCTGGCTGACTTAAAAGCCTCGACTAGGTGGCAGCAGTGACTCTTAGATAGAGCTTCTATGCTCTACATTCCACACTCCTCATGATTTTGCTCCAAGTAAAGACACAACTGTGGAAGCCCACTGTCTGTTTCAAGTTCGAAGTTAGGTCTGTGTGTGAAGACAGATTCCCAGATTTCCCCTAAATGGAAATAAATCAGCAATAGCTACCTAGACAATTCTCCCAGGCACAGACATATCTCAGAGCACAAGAAGCAGGCTTTACCTTGAAGCAGTGAGGAGGTCCATCCCCCAGGCAGTCACCCTGCTTGATACAACAATAGTCTCAGTGGCAGAGATCAGGAACAGATCCAAAATCTGTTGGTGCCCACAATGCACATTCAGCCTATTCCTCATATTCCCCCTAGGAGTGGGGAGAATGGGACATAGGTCTGGCTTGTGGCTGTGAACATCTCATTTGGAGGACACCAAGGTTACCAGTTCTTCCCTTCTCCCAGCGCCCCACAAAGATAGGGAAGGAGTAGAAACTGTAGAGCAGCAGGCCCCCAGAGGGAAGTGGAACAGTGTTCTCCTCTCTACACAGGCACTGTTTCTCCCTGCTCCTACCAGCACACGTGTGCTGCCAGTGTCTGTCCCCATGGCTTGTCCTCCACAGGCTTGCCCTGCCTTGGTGGTGGTTACCCACTGGTGAGGACAGGAGCAGGGGATCAGGTAGCCCTAGGGACACAGCAGGAATGACTGGGCACAGGCACACATCCCTTGCTCTGTGGCCATAAGTGAATGCAATACTGTAAATAGGAGAGGTGCTTTTTTGGAAGGAAGCCCCTCGAGCTTCAGTTTCTGTGGGTTCAGCCTAATATTTAGGCTTGGGACGGGTTTACTTTATTGAGAGAGGTTTGTTGTGACTGGATGTGGGGGGACATCCTCCTGTCTGTCTCCCACCAGGGGAGAAGAATGATTGAATGACAAGGTGGAGGAGGAGAGAAATTAGTTGTACTCACCCAGACTCATCTGCATCATGCTTTCCTTTGGGGTGTGGGGAGGGAACCAAGAGGAGGTGGAGGCTGTGAGTAGCCATCCCTCGGCACAAAAATGTGTTGTATCTTCTGGGAGATCCCTCTCTGTGAGTGACTAGGCACATAAGGAGAGGTATGGGCAGTATGTGGGGGATCTGTTTTGGGGTGTGGTGCAGGAGCAGCTTGCATGCCCCTCCTCCCATCAGAGTTACGTAGGTGTCTAAACACCATTTGGGGCTGACTAATGAGCAAGCTTTTCTTTATCCTCTTGGGCTTGCTTCCCTCATGTAACCAGCTGATGGGCTCAGGTGGGCTTGAGGCAGGAATGAGCCTCCCCCTCAGAGCACCACTTCAGTGAGACATGAGCCAGGTGACTTCATCTTGGGTTATCTCCCATCTCGCTCTTCTCCTTGCTTTGTGTCATAAGAAGAGCATTAATGTGACAGGGCACTCTGCAACATTAGATACTTGGACAACTTGTTTTGCTCGTGGGAGAAGACATACTCTGCTTGGGTTCATGTGCTTTCAGCCTTTGCAGTGGAGGGTTGGTGGTGACTGACCTGGGAGTGGGATTCTGCTTGTTTGCATGTAGCCCTTTAAAATGCAGAATGCAATTTCCATTGGCATTTGGCTGGTTCTGTAGCTGATGAGACATACAGACCTACCTAAAGGGCTGGTTATCTTATCTTAGGTGCTTCTGATAAGGTGCTGCCTATTTCTGGTGATCATAGGCAAGACCTGAGCAGCTGACTGTAACATGTCCTTTTTACATTCTAAGTGTGGGTGAGATCAGCCCTACTCTAGAGATTAGGAGATCAGAGGGGAGGCTGTATAAGCAAAATGATAAGGTGGCTTTCTTCCCCCTCTGCCATTTGTTCCAATTAGAGATCCACATTATAGGATTACACATCCCTTATTGGGAGCAATGGCCCCTTGATGTCTTCTTATCTTACGAAGCCCACAAGTAAGGGACTGTTTCGTGGAAGCAGAGGCTGTGAAGGGCAAAGAGATGATGAAACCTTGCCCCAGTTCTGTCTGGATTCAGCCTCCTGATGTGTCCCCATCCCTGGATCACCCGTATCCCCATCACCCTGTTCATCACCTCATTACATGCCCTTCCTCTCTGCGTTATTCCTGGCAGTTCCCACAGGGGAGGAGGTGTCTTTGTCCCTGTACCCTTGCAAGCACTTGGGAGGACCCAGGAAGGCAGCATTGCAGGGTGGTTCCCACAGGAGTCTCAGCTCCCATCCCCAGAGCAGGTGCAAGGTAAGGAACCCAGTGAGGCCACCTCATGCAGCAAGTTAAACCATCCATCCAGACAACTCCCTGCTGCCTGTGTGGCATTTGTAACACCACCTGGGCTGCCCTGCCCCTTCCCCTGCCACATTACTGCCTGTGTATAGTATATATATTATATATATATATTTAAAAAGATGTATAATATAAAGCTATACATATATGCGTATATATGATGACTCATGGATGGCCTGCCGCATACAGGATCCTCTGAGTGGTCTTGTCTAAGCCCGAGTGTCCCTTCACCCCTCCTCCCCCTCCCCCTGCCCCTCTCCGTTCCAAAATTCAACTACAGCAAACCCCGCCACCTCGGCACCTGTGTTTACAATGTCCTATATATTTGTGGTTAACAAAGTGAAGGTGGTAACTACTGGTGTCTCAATAAAGTTATGACGTTCAAAATAACCATACTATATGGAAAAAAAAAAATGGTCTGGATTTTTTTCTTTGGGGAGGGATGCAGTTTTTAGTTTGGTTTGCTACAAGACCATTGGTTCTTGTGCTCCTGCATGGCGAAGCTGGGAAGTTTAGTAACAATCAGTGGCTTGGATGGAAGAGAGAAACCTAAAGAATTGCCCTTATTGATATGTTTCAGTGGAAGCTAATGGTCACATGTTTTACTTGGCCTAAGTTTCAAATCACACACAACATCAAGTGTCTCTCAAGTAGGAAAACTTGAGGAACCTGACGTGCCATGTTAGAAGTGAACTCTCACTGTGAAAAGGATGTTGCAATCGGGGGTGTGGATGGGGGACTTAGAGGAATATAGGATACAAATCCATATGAAAATAAACACCTGTATTTCCACACCCAGGGAAGCAGATCTGTTTAGTCCTTTGATGTGTCTTTATCTCTGTTCATCTATGTGTGGCCATTGCTCGGGTGTCTGGTGTATTGCAGGTTTTCAAAACAATCAAATCCTGGGAAATGAGCTCTCAGGGCCACAGTGGGTGTCAGTGATTGGTAGCCCACCACTGAAAAGGATCTTGTTTCAACAGGCTTTGCAATAAAAATGAAATTCAAAATCCCATCCTGTGCTGATGCTTAGCTAAAGCTTCCTTCTCATCCCTTTTTAATGAGTCTGTCACCCAAGTACCTGAGTATCACATTTCCCAACCTTTGTGAGGTTTGAGGACAGTAAACAGAGGCACATGATGGTGAGCAGGCTCTAGCCATCCCCCAAACTGTCTCCCCTCTTGGGGCCACTACTGAGCACACACAGCAGCTGCACATCACATTATGTATGTTGGTGGACTGACCCATCTGTTTTATGATTAATCTTTGTTTGGACAAAGACCATTCCTACAGTCACAGCTTTTGGGGTGGATGTTTTGTGGAGATACCAAGCCCACAGAAAGGCAAATGTCTGTGTGGGCAATAATTGGAATTAAGAACTGGTGAGACAAGATGTTGCCAAAAACAAGCATTTTAGATGAGTAGGACTCCAACATTACTAGTTTGTTTGTGTTTTCTAATAGTTTGAAATCTCTTTAATTTTGCTCTCTGGTATTTCACATGCTTATGAGTCATGTTTTGAAGCTTCTCCCTGCAGCCATGACATCTAGAAACAATTCTGTTATAAAGCTGTTTTCTTTTTTTTTAAAGTTCACATAATCCCAGGACTCAAGGAGATGAAACTCTGTTTAGTGTATCGAGGAGTTCATTAAAATTATATGAAACAACCCATTTCTCTCCCTCAAAAATCCATCTGGCCTAAAACTGTACAAACTATTTTGCAGAGGTCTTGACTCTCTCTTGGGGGGATCAGGACTCTGATCACTTCCCCTTTCTCTGGCAGTAGCTCTCCACATTGGCTCACACACTCTGAGAGGGTGCTGGGGGAAGGAATCTATTGTTTCCAGCTTTCCTTCCTTAACACTTGTTCTTTTTATTGCCCCATCTTACTTTCCAGCATGCCTGGAAACAGTGGCCTGCAAAGAAGTGAGGAACATTAGCACACCTGTACCTGTGGGAAGCATCAGGCTGAAGCTGGTAGATGAGGTGACCTCGGGGTGGAGCTGTGTGAGGACTCACAGCGCCACGCCCTCACCGTACCTTTCTGCCTGCTGTAGGAGCAGAGCAAGTATGGCAAGCTGGCTCTGTCAGAGACACCTTTCCTTTTTTCCATGTCACCTCTTGCAAGCTTTGCCAAAAATTGTGGCTTTCCTTTCCAGCCCCAGCCTCTGTTAGCAACACAACAGAAGAAAAAAATCTCCCTAAACATATCTCCCACATGATCAGTAGAGAGAAACTAAATGATATGATGGCAATCCAGCAAATGGTTCCTGGTTTCTGAGCGCCTACAAGAGCACAGTGCAGGGGCTGCCCCAAGCTCCCTGCTCCCCGTGGCACGTTGCTCAGTCATGCTGTTCATCTTTCATCCAGCAGCCAAGCAATGGCCATGCTTCTTCCTTTCCTGCAGAGAAAACTTCCATAAAAACAGGAAGGCAGCAGTACAGCTTGTCACCAGGAACACTGTGTGTATAATCCCTAGCACTGGGGACAGAGAAAATGGGAGATTACAGAAAGAGAAATGTGGGAGTTTAACATGAGAGGGGGAGCTGTGTATCTGGTAGCCACTGAATCATATAATTCATTTACTTGTGCATGGATGGTGAGGTTCAGTGACCAATGTCCTGCATTCCTGGGGAGATCTTGGCTGCACGGGAGTACAGCACAGCAATTTCTGAGAGGATTTGCAGAAAGTAAGAAGAATAAATAGAGGTTAAAATAAGTTTGATCAATACAGCAAGCAGAAACTCAGTGCACTATTTCATCTTTCAAGTGCTGCATAAAGCTTTCAATGACCAGACATTAATGGAGCAGCTTCTGTAACACTTTCCTTTGGAGGACTGTGAAATGCTGGACAAACACATATTTAATGCTGCAAATGGCCTCATTTGCTAAAATCTACTATTTACTTTTTTCCTAAGTCAAGTAGCTAATTGACTTGCTCAAGGTTAGGGCAGAAGCTCAGTGACAGAACCACAGGAATATCCAGGCAGAATCTGGCACAAGTATTTTCACCAAGAAAAAAATGCTTTGCACCAGGTCTGCATTCCAGAGCAAACTGGCAGGAAAAAGATAAACCCAAATGACAAAGATCAGTGAGCATGAGCTGATGCCAGGTATTTAAATTAGGAACTGGGCACATTTTTAACTGCAAGATGTGACAAGCCATTGTACAAACAAGGGAAGTGGCACATTTTCTATCTTGTATCTTAAGGAATGTTGTTTTGCTCTCTCATTGACTTCACATTCTGCCTTATCACACTCTCACACAGACTCTGCTCTTGTTAGTCTCAAAAGGACTCACTTATGGATAGAAGAAGACAGAAATGACTCCTGAATTCCCAGTCCTGCAATGCAATATGTACTGACAGTCTCCGGGCACACCCAAAGCCTTGCTGATTTCAGTGTCGCTCTGAGCAAGGACAGAGTCTGACTGTGCTCATCAAGGTGCATGACTGCAACCTTCAATGGCATTAAATAACCATAAGCTGCTGCTGCAATGCTGAAAAAGTGTCATCCTGTTTTAAAGCAAAGACACTTGTCTGTAGCTTTTTAATGGCACGGACAATGCTGTGCTGTGCGTTTTTCTGCAGCACTGGGAATCCTTCTTTTGATACCGGCAAGAAAACAAATTTTTGTCAGTACTAAATCTGTCCGTCTTACTTCTAATACAGACTTCAGATCTATTCCTATAATTATTTGTACCTATTCACAGCTTTACCCACAGGAATACTCTGAATGACATGACTGAGACTGAGCTTATACAGAAGCCTAAACCTGAGGAAAATATACGTAGACCCAGGTTCTAAATATAGCATTTTCTTCTATCTTTGCGTAATACAAGCTTTTATAAAAGTAATTCTGCCAGTGTACCTAATTCTGCTTGAATGTCTGTATATTTGTGAGCCTTGCATGAAGGGGAAGGATCTGTAATCTTTGTATATTTTGAAGAAGGAAATGTAACAAAACAATAGACAAAGGATTTACAGGAAAGGAAGCTGGGAATCCTTTGGCAGAAACCCCTGCAGCAAAAGCCATCATTCCATAGAATGAGGTTAATTAACTGGCAATTATTTCTGAAGTGCATCTGAATCTAATATATCTGCTCCAAAGATGTCATTAGAAGTGTATCAAGCCACTGCTGGAAGTCAAGACTATTTAACACTCCCACCCTCACCACAGCTGCACTGCTACCCATGACTGAAACTGCACGTCTCTCATGTTGGAGCCCCTGCAGCCACAATACACACAGGGAATACACAGGGCTCTTCCCCAAGCCCTTGCTGCCACAGCCTGACTACTGGCCATCACTCACATTAAGAAACGCCATTCACGCTCCTGGAGGGCTCTTCTGCTGACTTAGACTATTGAGAAAGCAGTGAGATTGAATCTTGTGTCTTTCCTCCTCCCCCAGCCGAGCTGATTCAGTGGAAACAGCCTGTGTCTGCCACGGATGGATCTTAAATAAGAGCAAAATCAGTGATCTCTGCTTTTGTCTGTATTGCTCAGGCAGGCACACAAGTGATTTTTACTGTTGTGCCTGTGACTACCAAGAACTGCTCCAAACGGCGCTGAGGATTGAGAACTGCTTATCATCTGTCCTAGACACCTTCCTACTGCTTCCCTGAGGACATGGTCCAACTACATCCTTGTTATGACCTGCAAAAGAGGGAGGGGAAGTGCAGGACACAGACTTGACAAGCTGAAACACATGGATGCCAGGGATGCAGTGCCTATGGAACAGGGTGCAGCTGAGAGCTGGTACCTGGGCCGAGTCTTCCCTAGAGGTTGCTCGGAACATGATGCACTACTAAGAAAACCATTTCAACACCAGGCTACCTCAGGGCTCTCTGGCACTCAGGGTGAGCCCATTTCACAGGATCCAGGATTCACAGTATCAATTGCACCTCAAGGACTGTGTTTTCAGCCCCTCACTTTAAAAAGGTCATCGAGATGCTGAAGCAGGTCCAGCAAAAGGCAACAAGGCTTGTGAAAGATCTACAAAACACATCCTATGTGGAGCAGCTGAGGGACCTGGGTTTTTTTAGTCTAAAGAGGAGGCTAAGGAAGGACCTCATTGCTTTCTAAAACACATGAAAAGAGGTTGTAGTGAGGTGAGGGCCGGTCTCTTCTACTGTGCCTGCAGTAAGAGAACTAGAGGAAATGGCCTTAAGCTGAGACAGGGGAGATTCAGATTAGATATTATACATTTTTTTCCCCACTGTTTTGGTGGAATAGGCTGGAATTCTGTTCAGGCATTGGAACAGGCTGCCCACGGAGGTGATGGGGTCACCATCCCTGGGGGTGTCTAAGCAGCATCTGATGCGGCTTAGGGCTTACAGTTGCAGACAGTCGGACTGGACGATGTCAAACGCCTCTCCCAACCCCGATGATCCCA